AGAGAGAGAGAGAGAGAGAGAGAGAGAGAGAGAGAGAGTGAGTGTGTGTGTGTGTGTGTGTGTGTGTGTGTGTGTGTAAGAAAGGGGGAGAGGGGGATGAGAACGGTTTAAGTCCAAGACTTGATCTTAAGTAGCAGGTCATACTTTCACATGATACGTTCCAAAATTAACATGTAAGAAAAGACTGCTCAGCCTGCCCCCCACACCCACTCCTCCCGCTGGCCTTCTGTAGCTTTTTTTTACACAATATCCTCCAACACTATCTGTAAGGCATTATGCCAAAGACAGTCACCAGTCGCCTACTTTAATTAACAACCTGTTATCAGAGGACTCTCTAAAAGTGTGAAGAACAAAGATGAACAATATCTCGTTTTTAGGCTTTCACAATCATTGACCAGAACAGAGATGGTATCATCAGCAAAGACGACCTGAGGGACGTGCTGGCCTCACTGGGTGAGTCTCACTGGGATACGTACACCGCTTCAGTGTGTGTTTGATGTGTCATCGTAATCCAGACATCTTTGCTGCTCAGGCCAGCTGAACGTGAAGAACGAGGAGCTGGAGGGCATGATCAAGGAGGCCAGCGGCCCCATCAACTTCACCGTCTTCCTCACCATGTTTGGAGAGAAGCTGAAGGGTGGGTGTTACTTAGCCATTCAGTATTTTATTGTGGTATTGCTACTTATAGGTTCCCAATGTTCTGTCAGTGTATTGTTTAATCACCTCATCCTGCTGTCTTCATCAGGTGCTGACCCCGAGGACGTTATTCTTAGCTCCTTCAAGATCCTGGACCCCGAGGGTACCGGAACCATCAAGAAGCAGTTGTGAGCATTTTTTTTTAAATAACTTCACTGCACCAAACATCCAAACAAAATGAAACTGACTCCAAAAATGTGCCTGTTCCAGCCTTGAGGAGCTCCTGACCACTCAGTGCGACAGGTTCTCCAAGGATGAGGTAAAATCACGTGTTACAATAATACACCCTGCTGATAGTCTGGTCAATCTGCTACTGTGTCTCCATATACAGTATCTCCAAATGCCAACAACACATAGATTTGTTTTCATGAGCTTAACAGTTTTAGAAATATATAATTTTTGGTCAGATGTTTTGCTTTCTTTACATTGCTTTTGTTTGTAACAGTTTGATATACATCTCTTCTGGTCTGCTGTCTTTATGTCCACATTAGTTAACCTGTAACTCAAAAACATGCTGTAATCCTTGAATCAGCAGGATGATCTTGACATGCTGAATTTCCAACCCTTATTTTCTCCTATAGATTAAGAACATGTGGCAAGCCTTCCCCCCAGATGTTGCTGGCAACGTAGACTACAAGAACATCTGCTACGTCATCACACACGGAGAGGATAAGGAGGGGTAAAGAGAAAGTTAGAAGACAAGAAAGACAACAATCCCTTTGCTTTTCTGCCTTCCCTGTGCTTTCCTTTCCTCGTCCTCCTCGCTCACCCTCTGTGTACAAACCCATGCGCTCAGCTGCTCGTGTGGAAACCAGACTTGTCACACCGACATGTGAGAAGGCTGAAGCCCATGGGATGTCTATGTTTGCTTATGGGGAATAGGGATGATTTTAAATAAAATGATCCTGTAAAATATTTTCCATCTACAAGCTTTTCTCAAACACCATTTCTTCCTCTGCAACATCTTTTGTTTTCTCACTTCTACATTTCTGTCTGTCCTGTCACTTCAGCCTCTGAGGCGTTTGTAAGAATAAAACTCGTCTCTGCTTCCTTCAGTATCTGAGAGGAAGACGGCATTACTATTCAAGTAGGGCACAGAAAACATGAGGATTTCATTCCAAACTGAAGATTTCCTCTTGGGTGGATAAGGAGAGAGGACAGAGAGCGTTGCAGGTTAGAGAGGAAAGAGTTGCATCCTTAAAGTGATGGCAACATAAAAAAACAAAACAAACAAAAAAAAGAACGAAGGAGAGGAGAGAAAGGGCCGAAAGAAAACATTCAAGTCTTCGATTTCTTTCCCTCTGCTCCTTCCTGCATCCATTAAATCACCTGTTGAACCATAAGCTGTGTCGACTTCAGTGACTGGAATCTTCCTTGCATTTCCTCTGTAATGAATAAAAGGGACAAACTGTGAATAAAATCTCTTTCCTTTTGTACAATAGTGTCTCTTTTCAGTGGCTCTGTGGGACAGGGTTCAAGGGAGCAAAAAACGCTCACATCTGTTGGAGCTTCTTTCTTCAGGAGTCTGAAAGGTAAATGTGATTCGGAGATCAGGCCTAGTAAAATTTAGCAACAAACTCAACGTTTTAAAGGATATAATCATCAGTCTTATGATCGACAGTCACAGAATTCTTATCACAAATCATACGCAAAGCACCCTTTACATTTCAAGTGACACTGAGAAAGACAAAAACATAGATGATTTAATATATTACGGTTTATTACTCATCACAAATATTATTATTAATTAAATACATCCGCTGTAGATCTGAAGGAATGAATTAGGTATGATTTTATTTCACTTTTGCGAGATGTAAACTTAAAAACATTACAGTAAGGGGAAGAAAAACAGCTGAAACGCTATGTGCGCTAGTGATCTCTGTCTCAACCAAATGTAACCAAGAATGTGGAAATCCCCAAAGGACCCGACAGAAATTTATTTCTTAAATTTGTCCTCAGTATTGCAGAGCTGTATCCACGGGAGGAAATCACGAGCTAGCGAGAAACTTGTTTGATCAACAGGACATCTTGAGCCCTCTGAACAAAAAGCAATGCTGTCATCAAGACGTGACCTGCAAGGACATATTGCTCATAAAATATTGTAGTCCACGGGCCTGAAAGTGTGTTCAGAAAAACGCCTACTGAAGCACAAAATACTTTCTACTACGGCTGCCATGTGACCATCATGGTCAGAGGTGATATCAGTGCTGCTGTCGCCACACACTACACAACAGTCATGGCAAAGGAAGGTTTGCATAGATGTGTTCAGGTTATTCTCACTAACACTACGCTAATCTGTGCCTATAAGGCTCTGGCATCTTAACAGGGGAGGGAGGGAGTGTAGTATTTACTGTATATATCTAGGTGACGGCCATGTAAAGACCACAAATAAGTGAAAAACAGAGGAAGATACGTTGGCTATAGTTACATCAAAGTCCCTCTGATCCTTAACTATGAAAACAGTACAGTTAAAGAGCAATGTTTTCTGCTGTCGATTCATTTTACACTACCTGGCACTAATCATTGTATACTGGTGGGGTTTGGGGCTGTTTAATGTTTATGCATTAGTATGTTACAGTACAGACACCAAGTGTAAATAGGTTATTCCAGTCATTATAAATGTTATAACACAGCTTGGTGAGACAGAGATACTGATCTCGAATTAAAGAACTATTCAAACTTCAAAAATCACCCCTTAGTAGATCATACAGTACAGTTAAGACCTTCAGCACCCAAACGTTCTGTCATTCGTCTCACTGTTTGCTCTGACGGAGGCCCATTGTTCCACTCAAGTCGGTTTAATACTGCACTTCAGTAAACTGGAGACTCATGACCCTAAGTTGACCAACCCAACAGTGACAGTAAACTTAAATAGCAAAGACATGCCTTGAGTTTGTTGTGTACAAGCAGAGGACTTGACGTGCAAAGCAGAAAAAAACAAAAAAAAAAACTATGATCCCCCTGCAACCACACTGTGTAGTTGGCCACTTTTCCAGTCAATCAGGTGTCTCTTACTCATATAGAAAAATAGATCCAAAATAATAATAATTATTATTATAGTTAATAATATACTTTGATTAAATTAACCACTTTATACATAAATACATCAGAGTCCGAAAGTCAGAGGTTAATGCTACACCGGCACACCTGGCACCTCCAGGCTTCCTATAGGACCTCAAGGCACAGGTTTCAAACTGTGAAACCGGCCTGTCGAGACTCTGGTGTCTGACGTCACTACACTGATGGAGTGGTCAATTTCAGTGGTGCTTTGCGACAAAATCACAAGTGCAAAAATCAATCTTCATTCTCTTGAGATGCTTGAAATCACATTCTAATGGATTACTGAACTTAAGTTCTTACCCATACTGAAAATAGGCTAAATAAAATGCAGGATGGTGTTTGCTGAAAGCAAAATAATACTAACGCTGCAGGTGGACATTTGGTGCGCCGTTGCTGCTGGGTAGTGCGTTTCCACACAACCAGTCTATTTTGCAGCTGCTTTTTGCAAAAATCAACATCAGATAAGAAATTCTGAGGCTGGAAATTAAACACAACAAACCTCCTTGAAATATTAAAAATAGCCACAACCACATGGTGCCTGTTTATACTTTTCTTTTTTTTTTTTAAACCTCTGTTCATCTGTGTCAAAGTAAGAATTTGGCAAGACGGGTGGTGGTTTGAAAAAGAAGCAGGCAGTGGGAGACAAAAACAGAGACTATGCAGAAAACAGTAACACATTTCACTGTACTACTAAGACACACACTCACAGGCAACATTTAACATGACAATAAATACATCCTCAAAACATGACTAGCATTTCTGTCTTCAGTGCCTGCGTTTGAGACAACTGATGGGTTTTTGTTTTTTCCCCAGGCATCCAGATTAACCTGCAACAGGGCGTATGGAGTGATAACAGGATCCAATGTACTTTAAGGGGAGACTTCTAATTTACACCTTCTATGGCACCAAACTATTTCTGCAGACTTTCAGTTCAACAATCCCAAAAGGTGGTTTTTCTAACTGCTGCCATCAATCAAATTAAAATAATAAAAATGACAAAAAAAGAAAAAATTTAGATACCGACTATGATCTTCTGAAAAAATATTCAGACTCACAGCCCATGCGCCAGTTGAAAAAGTAAATTTGTCCCATCTTAATAAAACCCAGTGAAAAAGAAAGCATCGAGCGAGGGGCAATAACCCCCGAGGTGCTATTAAAACCATTATCCGGTTTTCTCCACCATAGTTCTGGGACTATATTAAGTCTTTGAAATGATGTGTTACACAGGAAGCCATCCCATTTTTTTATATTAATTACTCCTTCTCTTTCTGGGGGTCTTTTGTTCCTGACCTCTGTTTTTGTACAGCATCCCTCCACATTGGAATGACGTGGTGGAAAACTAGGCCGAATCTCTGGCTGCCGCAGCTCCGTTTTTGTCCTCGGCCTCCGCTCCCCCTTTGTCTTTTTTCTTCCCCCCTTTCTTTCTCTCTTTTTCTACCCTCTCTTTCTCCTTCCTGAGTCGCTCCTTTTCAGCTTTTTCCTTTTCCTTCTTTTCCTTCAGTTTTCTCTTCTCATCTTCCTTTTCTTTTTTCTTGTCTTCTTTGCTCTTCTTTTTCTTCATTCCTTCTTCCTCTCCAGTTGTGGCATCAGCTGCCGGTGCTTCTTCTTTTTTGGAATCTGGACATGGTGCCAGAGGGGCGTTGTTCGCAGTAGGAGAGGGGAGAGCTAGAGTAATTTGCTCAGAGACAATCAGAGTGCTGGGTGGTGGTGGTGTGCTTTGTGCAGGGGCAGAGGCAGCAGGTTGATTTTGGGCTGATGTGCTTTCTGAGGGCTGAGCAGGCCCCTGTGAACCAGCTGCATTCCCAGCTAAGGGGCTCTGAAAGTGAGGAGTCGGTGCCCTCTGACTTGGCCCTGGGGGAATGGGAGGTTTATGGCTGGAGCCCTGGCCCAGACTCGTTATTGCAGGTGGCGACTGAGACCATATGCTCTCCATTCCTGATGGGCCTGAGAAGGAGCCCTTCTTGACTTGGGAGTGGAAAGGAGCCTTAGACTTGCGGAAGCCAGGGAGTGAGAGGAGGCTTGAAGAAGCCCTTAGTGGTCCTGGTGGAGGGATCGGGCTGCCCAGGAAAGAGAAGCTGCCACCAGAGCTGATGGCGGCAGCGCGGCGTTTGTACTCATAGATGGCTTTTGTTCCGTGGAAGCGGCGGCCCGGCTGGTGTGTCAGTTCCCCTCTGGACTCCCTCCACTTCCTCACCTGGATGCTGCACTCCTTCTCGATGAGTGCCTCTGTCACTGGAAGTGCAACAATCTGGATGACACATCAGACAAGAACGAGACAGACAGAGGAAATAAAGATTACTAGATGGGGCATTAAAGGACAAAGTGACTCATAACTTGTGCCTCTGAATAAAAACAGAAGCAGATTTTACTTGTGTAACAGTGTGTGAAGCTCAGAAAGAGAGACCCACCTCCTGCACCAGTATGTCCTCTTTGATAGTGTCAGGTGAAATGTTTCTCAGACGCTCCATGGTTTCATACATGCCCTGTAGTTCTCGAAGTTTATCCACAGAGCCAAGCATCTGTTTCAGCAGCACCAGGCCCACACGAAACACTATCTTCACTCCTACAACCACAGACTTAAGTTAGGTTTCAGTCAGGCTACAGCAAAAATAAACACTGCCCCCTACAAATAGAATGTGTTAAATTTCAAATGATTTTAATAACTTTGTTGGAGATATTAATTTTTTAAATTTTGCTCCATGTTAAAGACAGGGATTTTTGTGATTTTCGTTATTTTTGTGACCTTGACCTTTTTCAGCCAAAATCTAATCACTTCTAGGGTTGGTCCCAACCAATATCTGTACCAAGTATGCTGATGATCCATCCATAATCCTGATAACCTACATACACATGGAACCAAAATCATAACCTCTTTGGCGGAAGAAAATATGAGTACTATCTACAAGCTGATATTAAAATTATGTGATGAAAAAACTGTACATAAATTAGCCAAACAGAAATAAAGATGCTGTAAACTGTGTGGATATGAATAGTACCTTCAGAGAAGAACATGTCCCAAACACGCAGGACACAGACCCATGGTAAGGTGCGTGAGAAGACACACATGAACCACTCAGTCATGTAGAGAATCGGGTCAATCTTGAACTTCTTAAGGTGACGGTACGCCATAGGACATGTGCGGCGCAACAGGGAGAAGAAGATCTCACCGTCTAGCTGGATCGCTTCCTAAAAGATGAAGGGGGGGGGGAAGCTGAGGTACTGCACACGAAGGTCTGACACAGGACACATATGGAGTTTGTTCACTCACTCACCAGCCCAGCACTGTAATAGCCAGGAAGGTACTTCTCACATATCTGGACGAGGCACCAAAAAGCTTGCTGTGAAAAAGAAGCAAAAAAACCTTAAGAAATAACAACTTCATGATTCTGATATAACAAGCTTAGCGTCTTTATGTTGGGTGTTAATTTTACAAGCCATGTTCTTATTGTAAAATAATCATTTTTCCAACTTAACACGAGAACAAGCAATCAGCTTCTTGAGCTATTTCATGGTCACAGCGAACAACAGATAGAAAATGACGCAGAGCTCCTCCGTGCTTCTGTGTGAAACCAACACTTTCAGCAGACAGACATGTCTGCTGAAAGTGTCTGCTGCTACCTTGTATCAACTACAGCAGCTATGTTTGTTTTATTAAAAATAACACACTGCTACTTATCAAAGCAAAACCATTTCACATCGACATCTAACGGCATACATTCATTTATATATAGGAGTGAATGAACTCAGAATACACATCAGACAGGTCTTTGTGTTTACAAGTGATGCAACCGTAACACTATCACACATACTTGATACTTCCAGGAAACTTCATCAACCGTTTCACAGCCTGGTCACTGAAGTTTCAGCAGTGCCACCAGCCTGCAATCTCCTGCTGCATCTCATTTTGCAAGTAACCCCAATGAAATAAGAACTGAATACCATTTACTTTCATTTTTGTTTCGCTTTCTCATACAAGCCAACTCTCTTTTTCTTGAGCACTCTCTCCTGATTGTGTCAGGTGAGGAGGGATAAACCCAAAATATACATGATTTCGCTGCAAACGTGTGGACACATACACATAATGTGCAACTCGTGTTAGCTCATTTCCTGTGTGTGTCCTATTGGTCTGACATCAAGTTGGAAGCTCCTTTTGTGTAGTTTGTTTTTAACCTGTGTGATGTGTGTATGGAGGCATTTTGAGGTCAAGTAACACAAAAGTTAATTACCAAAGCGCTTAATTTTCCTATTCATTCTAGTACATTTATGGTAACAAGATTTCAACACAACTCAGTATCGGGCCAAGTATTTATCAAGCTGTGTAAAGTCATATCAGTCTGTTCAGTAACCCTTTTCATTTCTCATAGACCTGGTGAGAATCTGTCTCTCACCTCAGCAGGCATATGCATGAGAAGCACTGCAGCCACTGGAGCCTGAGCCTGGCAGTAGCCCTCATCAGGCCGGTAGATGGTGTAGGCCTTCAAAATCCGGTAAAGATCCTGTTGCCTGCAGGAACAAATACCAAAATTATTCATTGGCCAAAGCCACTGAAAGACCTGACCTGTTTATGCACTTCCTTTACTCATAAACAGGACACTGCGCATCACAGTCATGGGAACCTGGGTGAAAAAACACAGTCCATGGTCTAGTGTAGACAAATGCATCTGAAAATGTACTCGAATTTAAAAAAATTAGACACTAAATCTCAATAAATGAATCTTTTTTTGAGAGGTAGGGTATGACCCATGAGGAAATCCATTCGATGTTGATGCTGATAATGGCATTGGTATAAATAAAATCTTATCAATTCCCATCCCTATTGAGATTATAAAGAGCCATCTGGCATCAAAATAATGTCCATTAATGGTTTACTAAAATTTGTGGCTTGTATTCAGAGTGCAGTTGTTACTCTTGTGAATCATGTGTGTGTGTACTCTGGTGTAAAACACACTGAGGGTGTGTGTGTGTGTTTTTTTTTTTTTTTGGGCTGAACATGTATTAAATTTGCTAAAACATCTTGAGTTTGCTAAAATCTCCATGATATTATGTTTAAACACCTGCAGCATATTTTGTAAGTGCATTTTTGAGGATTCCTGTGATCATTGCCAGTTTATGTGTGTATGCATATAAATTCTCAGTAACTTGTGGAATCAATTTCTAAAGTAGTCATTAAGGCGAATTAGACTGCAAGGTCCTGTATGAAACTACATTTCAGATACTAAAAAATGAATTAAAAATAAAAAGCTAGAGAAACTCTTCCTCAGACAACACAAACAACATAAAACTGACTGCTAAGGACCCAGACTCAGCTGAGAGCAGAGCCCGCTCATGTGTGGACATAGAGGCAGGGCTCTGACAGGCAGGATTACAGGTCCCGATAAGAGGCTTACAGATCTCTGAGTATGCGCCTGCGTCCCTTTAGCACCCCTGCAGCTGACATTACCCTAACTCAGCCACAGCTTCCCTTTACAATGGTGTCCACTTTAGCCAGTTACCCAATTAAAATATGGTAGCTTCTTCGTGGTTCTTAAATATTTTCAACCCAGCAGCAACCTACTACATATACAGAGGGGGAACTGCAAGAATTAAGACAACTGAGATGAAGAATGAAAGAACAAACGACACCAAACAAAATTTTAAGTTTTAGTACATTTGTGAAGGAGTGGCCAAAAAGCATTTCAGCACTATGAGAACATAAGAAAGATGAAGTCTCTGCTTTTTGTGGTTTTGATAACATAAGTGTTAACAACATGGTAACAGCTGCAGATGTCCCTAAACATTTGTGTAAAGTGTAATGTACCTACTAAAGATCATCATGGCTCCAAGTAAGAAGAGTGTTACCAACTACTGGCTTCAGAGAGGACCCTCCCCATGAATTCATGACATCTTATATTTTTCTTTTTTATATTCTTCAGTTACATTTAAACTGATTTTAAAAATCAAAAGTAAAAAAAAAAAAAAAGACAAAATACCTCAAATTTCCCTTTGTTGGCTTCCAGGAGCTCTTTGCTGTTGGACAGCAGCTGCCAGGCTGTGCCTCTGAGAGAAGAAGGGATCCCCTTCCTGCAGCGCAACTTCACCTATACCGCACAAAAAGATACACAGGTTATTAGTTATGGCATAATATTATGTATAATATTACAACCCTAGTCATAGTGATTTGGTTTGTATATTGATATGTTGTGTGTGTGGCTCTATGAAATGGGTTGCAGGTGAGCCATCTTGACTTGTTTGCAATTATGAAGGAGTGTATTGTGTAGGTTTTCAGGAAGTTGACTAGCTGCAGCCTTTATCCAAAGGTTAAATTCAGCATGTTGTAAAGAGGGTCATCTCTATATTCTAAAGGATTTTGTAGGGGTGAGATATTTATTTTGTCTCTTCATCTCTTCATGTTGCTCCAGGGTTTTTCCTAGGCTGGGGCATAACAACTGCCAATCCAAGTCTATGTAAAACACATCCAAACACTGCTATATTCACTTACAATTTTACATTATACTCAAACATAAATCCTACAATACAAACACCGGAAGGGCATGCATACCTTCTGGAAGCGATGTTTGATCCACTTATCCCAGTTTCTGAACATATCAAGCCATTTCATCTCCCTCTGTCTGGCAACTTCAACACGAACTTCCTTTTCACTGTAATAGATAGTAATAGAAAATGGCTCATTGTTGACAGAACTGAGAAGTAGTCTGAATTTTCATACTCCTAAATATTGCACTGATAATTTTAGAGGTGTGTAACTGTGATCTAATGACAAATAGATTACCTCATTTCCTATCTTACATTGATTTGCACAACAATACTCCGAATTTCTCGGCTACAGAAACCACCCTTAACACTAATAAATCAATACATTTTTTTATTATTCAACAGTGGAAGAGCAATTAACTGGTCAGAAAAGTAGATGCAAAACCAACACAAAGAAGAGAGGAAGACAGCAGATGGGTGTGAGGGATGATACCACAGACATACGTGTCTGCGGTCAGTACATACTGAGTCACAATAACGTTGTCACCATTATCTGAGTCAGACCAAGGGGAGATAGAAGGATGGAGAGATATGTTTAGAGCACCAACGAAGGAGAGGAAGACAGGGAAGAAAGGGTGAGACCGAGAAGGAGGAATATATCTTTGGGGCTGATGGACAACAGAGTAACTAAAAAGAGGATAGTCAGGCAGGACTTACATGTATTTGTATGAACCACTTCTTCAGCTGTGATCTAATGCCTCATTAAAAACAGTGAACTACTTGTATGGAACCACAGTGTAAAAAACAGCCATACTGAAAATGCATCTCTAATTTCAGAATATCTTAGACCTAGCTGTTAAACATAGTAAAATCAAAAAATAGACATGAGCATTATTTTGCAGTAACCAGCTGGGTAACTAGTTAGTTAATGCAGTAATACTTACCTGCTCTCACTGTACTGATTCCCACCTAGGAAGCCATATTTATCAATGCGTCTGACAGTCAGGCCATTGATCTCTGAGTCTGAGCCCACAGAGCTCCCATCATCAAACCCAGACAGAGACTCCAATGTCCCAGACATCATGCTGGCTGACTCTAGGTAGCTGAAGGTGTCAGGGGCTTGACGGGGGTTGGGATTGGACAGGGCATAAGCTGGCTCATGGATCAGTGGGACAGTAGGGCTGTGCTGTTCAGCTCTGGTGGGGGTGCCGGGTGGGTCTGTTGTCCCCGTTTCATTGGGAGAACTAGGCTTTGGAGACAGAGGAGGAGGATTTCTCTGATGGTTTTGTGTTTGTTGAAGTGGCTGAGGTTTTTCCTCTTCAGCTGTTGCTGATGCTGCCATATTGGTGGATGATGGAGAAGCAGGTGTGGGGTTGGTACCTGCTGTGTTTTGAGGCTGGTCCGCTGCAAATTCACCATCATCCATGACAAGAGTTGGATTGTGGGCGACATGCACATTGGGGTACAGATTAGGACCAGGATTTAGATCAGAAGAGGGGGATGCCTGTTGCACTTGGCTCTGAGCTGATGGCTCACTTGACAGTGCTGGGGTCTCTATTTTGCTGTTCAACAGCTGTGCAGCCAAGGGGTCATTGGTTTTCGTCTCTTGCTTAATACCATGAGCGCCAGTTTCTGCATCTTTCTCTGCCAATTCCTCTCTCTGTGGAGCAGTCTCGTCATGAACTGATGATGGGGGGAGGGTCTCAGCATGGAGTTTGGAAGAACTCGATGGGTGGGGAGTCAAAGATGAATCCCCTGACAGTGATGCAGAAGTGTTTCCTGCCAAAGCCTTTTCAGTGAAGAGAAAAGACTTGTGCATACACATCTCCCTAGCAGACTCTGGAGCCGGGCTGTTGGCAACAGGGAGCACTGATGAGGATGGAGAGATGGATGGAACTGCATGAGGATCACCCAACGCAGGTGGGGATGGGGATAGGGTGGAGAGTTCAGCCATGGTCCCACTCTAATCGCTCCTCTAAAAACCAAGAGAAAATAGTTTTTTTGGCAAAAAGAATCAATCCATTAAATCATCTCTACAATATTAAATAAAACTCTGCATCTAATTGGATCATAAACAATTTTCAACATATTTATACTGGACAGATGCAGTTTTTTTCATAACAGAAGAGTCAACTTCGGATGCAAAAGAAAAGTGTCTACGAAAAATTTCCAGCTATGCAGCATCAGCTTCCTCTTCTTAAGACTGAAACAGAGAATGGGCTTGAAGAAGCAGCTAAATGAGTGAACTAGGTTATGAAATAATGGGAGACAGTGTGTTGGCATACACCCACTCATATGCAGTTCTTATAACCCCAAACCCCTTCAGATGTTTTATATACAACATAAAATGTGATATTTTGATATGTTGATTCCGCAAATAACAATAAACACACTGACAGCAATAGGTTTTCTCTTTAATACACAGAAACTTATGTGAGTGAGTAAAATATCTTCATGATAGTAAACACAATTTAAAAGCTTTATTTTAGAAGAACGCGCGAACGCTTCACACTCTGCCCCAGACATCCCACCAAAAAGCTTACAGCTACAGTATTTCACTATACCACAACTTTACGTTTTCAGCGGGCTACCAATGTCAGGAAACACTGTTGACAGAGATTGAGTAACGGTTTTCTCTACTGATGTACCAGCGCCCCGGCATCTAAACGTTATCAAAAAGCGACACCATAGTGGTCCATTGTTTTGCTGATGAAGCAGGTTAATGTCTGTAGCGGTGCTTTCAGACAGCTATCGGTTACATGCTAGCAAATACTAACTACAGTTATTTTCTTCCCATATATCATCTGGAGGCCTCTGTTGAAGCGACTCAACTTCCGATTAATAACGCATAAGACGAGGTTTACGACAGTCAACACCCTGCTGTCTACCAAACCCAGGCCGAGCAGCATCCACGGCCTTTTCCACTCTACTGTCCCGGTCAACTTCATCTTCGCTTCCAAACTCACCCACAACCGGCGTGTCACTGTGATCCGTCCGCCTGGATAGCCAGGGGGTTCTTGTCAACACGTTCCCCCCGCCACAGCTCCGGTTCCGGAACCTTCTTAGTGCAATGAAAACACAAAATAAGCTAAATCGGGGAACGAACGCCTCAACAGGGCGAGAACGGGAAGAGCAAACGTCCTGCAATCGGCGAGATAGCTAGCTAGGTTAGCTTATTTTAGCCTAAGGCAACTGTTAGCATTAGCATCGATAGTGTTTCTGTTAGCCTGGATAGCTACTTGAATGTCTCAGTTAGACATACAGACTTACTGAAACCATTTCATCAAATTCAAACAATCGTTTACGTAATACTTTTAAACAAAAATGTTTTTCTCTGGGAAATTTATCCAAACAGAGCGGCAGAAGTACATCCCACACCAGCAGCTTACAGTTCCTACTGACAGTTACGTGCGTGTTCTTGTCACCGTTTTCGGGCACGCGCACGCCTCCACACAGGAGCCTCCCTTTCACAACAGAAAAAAACGTGCCATTGTACTTCAGTACACTAACGATAAATATACTGCTTCGTGTCACTTTTTCTTTACCACAGTCACTCGCATTGGATACTGTGCCTTTCATTGTTAAAACACTACAAATAAAGGAGTTACTTCAAATCTAGCGCAAACAAAAGACTTCCCACTTTAAAACAATGATTGGAGGTCATTAATGCTATCTAATAATAAAATAGCAAAAGTATGAATAAACACCAAATATTTCATTATAATGGTATGTTGTTCTACCAGTAGATGGAGCAGTCCCCTTTTATTCTAAGCGTTTTATAAACCTGGAAGATTTAAGGTTATGGTGACCTACCAAAACAGCTGTTAAACACAGTCTACTAGTGTTTAGGAGTAAAGAACTATACATGATTAAACTAGTACTTTAACTACATTTTGCAGTAGTTTGCTAGTAGTTCAACCACATTTATATTCGCATAGAGATTAAAGTAGTTAAATTACTACTTTAATGTTTTAGTTGTGGACAGATAATACAAAAATAAAGATTTGATTGCAACACAAATATAACATTCCTTGCAAATCTGTCCTTGTGAAAAGCCCCAATGGGATTTCTTTTTGTTTAGGACAAGTTTAGGGCTCAGGTAAAAAGCTTGAATGAGTGGCATTTTTTTGCTGGCATGTGAGTTTATTGCATTAATTATAATTCTGTCACATGATCATAATCAGTTTGATAAATTTGTTTATAAAGTAGTTTGAAATATTTTTTTAAAAGTAGCTTTAGTTAACCAAGCTAGTTTTCTCCCTGGGGTAGTTTTGCTGTAGTATCATTTCTTCCAGACGGAAGTAATTGATAGTTTGCAAAGCTATGCTTTCAAAGTAGCTTCCCCATCACTGAACACACATACAGTACACTGGTGTTAAACCATGAAATTGAACCATGGTGGAGCATACAGTTGAATCAACATGTCACAAACAGTTTTAACTACAAGTGAACATACACTCAAACACGCCTTTTATTAGATTCACACTGAGGCACGCTGTGATTTACACCAAACATATCTATCATAATGTGCAGTGTGCACCAAAGCTGTGGACTATATGTTAGCAGAAATTCACCACTACAATCTGAGATTGTTTTTTCTGGGGAGGGCTTTACAGGCTCTGTTAGGGGACTGTGAGTCATCTCTCAGCTTTCCTTTTAGCAGGCCAGTAAATGTTATGAAGATTGCCATGGCAAACCAAAATAGGGGACACCCTGGCATGTTGGAACAATATCACGTTTTCTGCAAGGGAACTCCCATACTTAGTTTTACTCATACAAATAAATGCAATCCAGCTGGTTGTTACAGAAAGTCAAAGTTTCCACAAGAGTATAGAGACATAGCACTGTGGGTAAACAAAGCTCATTGTCTCCATGGAGAAAAAAATAGAGCGCACACACACTGAAACAAAATCTGTAATTTAAGATTAGGAATTAGGTCTCCAGGCTGTTCAAGTTCACATCATAACACACCCTGCAATTCTAATAAAAAACACGAAGGGGATTGATATGGAAAGAATGTAGGAACAAACAACCTCTTCCTGTAATGTGAATCAAGTGTATACAAAAAAAAATTAAAATCACAAAAAGCAAAGCCATGTTGAATATTTTAAATAATCCTTATAAAATTACATAATTTTATACATTTCTCAGTCATTACGAAAATATTTAACATTTCAATTCCACAACATTAAACATCAATGTAAATAATATAAATTACTGAAATATAACTTTTAAGTCTGTATACATGTAGTAAATGCCTGTAAATTGTGCTTACATTTGTCATAACTCACATAGATAATGCTGGTGTTAGACAATCTCTGATGTAGTAATATTTAATATCTAAATACTACAGCAAAGTCTTAAAAGACACAAAGAAGGGAAACCAATAATAAAATTATACCTTCTTTAACAATGCTGTTAACATATGTTCTTTATTGTCGAAACAAAAAATGTCATTGTTTTATCATAATATAAGCTATAAGTGCTAGAGAAGCATATTACGCATTCATAACAATATATTAAGTTCTTTACAACTGCACATTTGTTATTAGAATCAGCACTGATGACATCCTAAGACTGTAAGACAAATACAGAATTTTTGTCATGTAAATTCTTCAGTTAGTGGCATGAGATACCCTTCTTGGTAGTTTGCAGCCAAAAATGGCTGCAGCAACACTCACTAAAACATCATAAAATTGCATTTAAGTACAAAGCTTTTAGGTCTGTCTTTTCAGTCTATAATTGGATAATTCATTGTTTATTAGCACACTATTTATGCAAGTCCATGTGTGGACGTATGTGATGTTTTAATGCTTTTGTTTTTCTGTATAGCTCACTGAGTTACAGGATTAGAATATCCTTTTAATACTATAAGTAAAGGCGGTTTAATGTCTTTATTCATATTTAGCTCAAGTCCTGTGTGTCTGAATAGCAGCTTCTAGTGCTTTTTGCAGTCGATAAGGTCAATTCAGGAGTTTTTGGTGTCGGCTAGATGGAAATGTGTCAACCCATTTCTGTGTGCGGGCTTGACACTGATCCCAATCGTACAGGGGGCAGTACTGGAAGTAACGCAGGGCTTTGTCCGTTTTCACTGTAAAGGAAGTACTGACCACG